TTTTTCAATGTGAATATTGAATTTATAAATATACATAATTTCAATGACATAGGTACAATTCTTAATAAGAATAGTATATTATTTTGTTTTAATTTTAATTATTTGATAAGAAACAAAATATCTATAAAATACTTTCATGTAGAATTTAAAATAACACAAAAATATAATTTTATGTGTATTAAAACTATACTAAAATTGGCCCACTTCTAGAGAGAAGATTACATGCGGATGTTGAATGTGTTTGAAAGCTAATCAGAAGCTGCCACTCAATGCACTATATATTGGGTGTCTTGACGGCTCTTAATTGACATCCAGACGTATTCAAATGCTCGTTATAATTTTTTCCAATTCTGACCCCAAAACGCATCACTACCCATTAAAAGGCACGAGGTCTGTTATAATTTATGACATGTTTTCTTAAACTATGCAGTTCTCCGACTTCTCCCATTATAAGTTTATGGTGCGCCTATCCTACGTGTCATAATAGAAACTTGGTCGTCGCGATGAGAGGTCAAAAGATGGGAACTGGGAAGAAAAATTGCTCAAGGAAAATTGATGCTATACATTAACGATTGATGTTCCTTTCTTTCCACGGAAAAAATAATTCGGTCAGCAGATTCTAAGTCAAAATTTAATCAAAATTCAATTTCTAATTATTAACTTTAATTTAAAATACATATTAAGATGTAAGTTTTTATTTCATTAAACTTGTAGTCGAAATGAACATTTTGATGAGGTGAACCCAATAACATAGTCTCAATGATCATAAATCAAAGACACAAAATATAGATGAAAACTTCACGATAGTTTGAGAAATCAAATAATCACTAAATCTTGGTGTTTAGGATCAAAATGAGCAACTTAATAAGAGGAACCTAGCAAGTTTAAGATCACTCAAATCTGATGCCATTAATGCTCTTAAATTCTCAGAAAATCTTATATGATCAAATAGATAAGTTTTAAAAATTTAAGTTTAAAATGTAAAATATCACTCTAAAATATATAAATATACTCTCATTTTTCACATGAGGATGGAGGACCGAGAGACAGAGTTGGAATAGAAAAGAATTCTGCCCTACGATAAACATCAAAAAATAATTGTTGACAATCACCATTATCTAACTACCATCATCTACTAGACACCCAATCACCAAAATATCATTATTTGATCATCATTACCTATTATCATCAACAAGACACTCTCGTCATCGGCTGACAATTATTGCCAAACCATCTTTAACTAACCAATTTAAGGCCAGTTATTTCCTTTGACAATAAGATATAGTAAGCTGATCCTTCGATTGTTGACCGCTATCTCTCTCTTATTTCAACTCAATATCTACTAAAATATGAAAAAGAAGCAATTTTTTCTAACAATAAGATTACTTCAATGTTAAGCAACTACATTAACACGGAATTTAATGTACTTTTTCAACGGCGGTTTGGCCATTCACTAGTCCAATGTTCACATTCAAGTCCTTTTCAATTTATAATTATCACAACTTTGAATGCCAGGAAATTCCTCAAATAAAATTCAACTAAATATTTTTATAAATTTTCATATATTTATAATTTATCACTAATACTTAAAAAAATTACAGATAATATTTAATGCAAAGAAATAAATTGTTCTAAAAACCTAATTATATTTTAGCGTCGTAATTAAACTGGAAATGAAAAAAAAAATCTATATTAATTGGGTTGGCTGAGTGAAAGCCTGTTTTCGAGTCAAGAAACTGGACCGAAAAAGTCAAGCTTTGGCGAAGATTAAGATCATACAGCACAGTTTGAGCGAACCCGGATTTTGTAGTACCCACCTCTCATTTGCAATGACCAAACCCAGCTCCAGCCTTATTTCTCCTTCTCCTTGTTTTCTTTTCTTTTTAGATATTCAATGAATTTAATTGTAAATATTATAATTTAGACTTCATTTGAGACAACTTTTTTACTACTTTTTAAAACAGCTTTCAAGTACAAAATTTTCTACTACAACAACAATAACGATAACAAGCCTTTATCACTCTATATGAGGTCGGCTACATGAATCATTTTTCTTCATTGTGTTCTATTAAGAGTCAAATTCTAATCTAAATCTAATAAAAAAAGATCATTTATAATATTTTCTAACCATATTTTTTTAGATCTACCTCTAACTTTCTTAAAATAAGTCAAATCTAATACATCTACTTTCCTAATTTAGTCATCGGAAGGCTGTCATTTTATATGACCACACTATCTAAAGCAACTCTCTCTAATTTTATCTTTCACTGAAGCTACTACAACCTTTTCATGTAAATACTCATTTCATATATTGTTTCTAAGAATTTAATACAAAATTTTTTAATTAACATTTTTTAAACATTAAAATTGCTATAAAAAATACTAAAAAAGTTTACCCTAAAGAAAACCTTAATAGTTAGTGTACTCAAATTTTTACTCCCATAATAAAGTCAAAAGCCCTCAACCTTGCCCCTCGAGCCTTGCGCTTTCCCCCCATGGTTTAGATAATCTAACAGTGAACTGGGCCTCCCGGCCGGGTCGATCCTTAGTTAAAACAACTTTTGTTAAGGATTAAATGGACTGGAGACACATGCTTGGACCAATGAACAATTGAACCAGTTGCAATTTCCTTGATGAAGCTAAACAAGGTTTATTTTGATTAAAACTTAATCTTGATATAAATAATTTATAGAATACATTTTATAAATAAATTATAAATAAGTTTGATAATTACAACAACTTAAGATATTTATCACTTAAATATAAATATTTAAATTTAATATTAAAGAAAAATTTTCATTTCAATTATATATTTTATAAAAAATTTATCTTTAGTTTTTGTCACAATTTACATCATTATTATATAACTTAAATAATTTAATATTTGTTATGTGATTCAGTTCAATTGAATACATGGCGTAAAATTTTGACAGTAATAGATCTAAAGGGGTATTGTGACTTTGTGTCATTAAATCTTTAATAAGTATACAAGTTTTAGATACCTCGGGTCTATTGTTCAAAGTAATGATAAAATAGTTAGTAAAATTTAAGTTGGATGGTTCAAGCAGAGGAATACATCGGGCTCCTTGTGTGACGGAAAATTCTCCCTCAAACGTAAGGTAAATTTCTATAAGCAGGTGATAAGATATGCAATGCTTTATGGCGCAGAATATTAGCCATTGAAAGAGAAGCATAAATTTAAGGTTTTCAGAAATTAGGATACTCAAGTGGATGAGTAGTTTCACTCTTAGAGATAGAATGCTAAATGAGTATATACGTGAAAAGTTTGGAGTAGCTTGAGTGATAGATAAGATTAGAGAAAGTCGACTTAGATGGTTTGGCTAAATAAAACCAGCGGCTAGAGGCGGATGGCGACAGTGGTGGTAGTGATCAGTAGCGGTAAGCCGGTAAGCGACAAAAAAATGGTGGTGGTGGCGGAAGGTGGTGGCCGGCGGCGAGTGGTGGCAGTCGACGGTGGCGATGGTGGCTGGCGGGTGGAGGCAGTGGTGGTCGGAGGTGGATGGAGGCTGCAGCGGTGGTGGTCAATGGCGGTCAATCAAGCTTGTTTGCGGTGTAAACAATTCTCACTCAAAATTGGACAAGTTTGATTAACCACAAAAATGAACTAGAATTTTATTTTACTTTATTTCTCATTCCATTTTCATCCAACCAAATACCTAAATCTTCAAATCCCCATTTTGGAATACTTTACACCCGTTTAAAATTTTCAACAAAACAGCCCTAAATGATCTATTTTTCCTTAACAAAATCCTATGATTAAAGTTCGCTCCAATAAATTTAAGAAAATAAATTTATTGAATTTTGCGTTACCACCTGGTTATACTCGCTAAATACAAAAAGAAACACTACATGAACGCTTGCATGGCCTAAATAAAATGGGAAAGTATACTTGACTTGGTCCCCTCAGTAAGATTTTTATGTAAGTTTGTATGGGAACAGTGAAATACTTCGCTTCATAGATTTGTTCAATACAACATAACAACTTTAGGTCCTTCAGAGCCCACAGATTCTTACTACCGATTGATAAATGAAATAGTAGTACCATAACATTGGCAGCAGAAAACTCGTTTCGACAGAAAAATAAAGCTAATTTCAGTTGATAATACTTGTCTATTTCCTGCCTGTAATAGTGCCCAACAGCATTTATTTGAATGTTGGAAATCTCATTCAACTATGTGAAATCCTAAAATTTGTGTTGATGTCTCTCTCAATGGCTTTAAATAAGATATACGCTTCTAACACAAGCGTTATTTCAAATCAACTAGAATTTTCTTAAGCTGTAGTCAAAGTCTAAAAGCAAATTCTTTCTAATTTGGCTTTTGAAGTTCACATCCCTACCATCAAATTTAATCCTTTCTTGTACACAAAATAAGAAAATATGATATATTCTAGAACTTCGGCCATATTCTATAAAAGAGCCATATTTGGAAAAAAAAATTAACAAGGTGGCTTTTGCTTACATTGTCAACCTACAGTGCTCACGCGCTCAACGCTTACATTGTCAATCTTTTACCAAACTAACTCTGTCGTTCGAACTGGACCAATAGTTTCACAAATCAGCTAAAATGCAAAAAACAAAAGCAAGCAAGGAGATGCAATACTGATATTGGTTCTGTTTCTATGATTTGTTATGAAAATGGGGAAAATCTCATCGGCCACAGAAACGGTATGTGCGTCAACACAAATTGGAACTAAGTGAACTGTAATAATCTACCAACCTAAGTGATTTTTCCAACCTATAATATCCAGAAATAGGAAGGTCACATGAGCTTACCTGTTCTGTTAGTGAGGTGGTAATGTATGCTTATTTATATTAGTACGAAATACATACCATGAACTTCTACCGGCTTCATATAGAATGTTTGTTACGAAATCAGCCTAGTTATAGCTCAACAAGAAGCAGAGGATCATGCAGAGAATGACTCAAGAGAAGATTAAGAAAGTAAGAAACAGAGAACAGAAGCAAAGGAACCACTTACTCCGTTCATAAGGGCAACTCCCAAGTGCAGTATTGTTGGGGCAGAAGCAAATGGGATCAGAAGCCCTCGTTGAATTATAACCACAAACCCCACCTGAATCAATGCATCCCCTGCACCAGTCCTTCCCCGCAGTCCACTTCAATCCAAAACCCTGCTTCAACACCTCCCCAAACTTGGACGAGTTGCTGTTCAACGACATCGCTGCCATTTCATCCAACGGCACCGCTGCCTTCAACTGACACCCCCCGAACAAATCCAACAGAAACGATGACGGCCCTTTGTCTAATTTATAATACGAGTAAGGCCCAAAGGGATCGCTAAAGCAGGGGATCGCCGTCAGGCTGGGAATCGGGTTACTGCAATTGATATAGACCGTCAAGTTGACATCCAGATCGGCGAAATCGAAGAGCGTGGAATTGATGCTGGCGTTCGTAAAGGTCTCAGGGCAAGAATTGCCCAGGAAATTCGATTCGACCAGGGTGAGGAAACCCTTGTCGTAATCGATGCCCTTGACTCTGTAATCGACTCCGTCCAGACGGATGCTGGGTTCGGATTCGGCATCGCTACAGTTGAGTTCGTAGCCCGGGACGCCACAGTAGCTAGGGCTATCGGGAAGGCTGAAAGGGAACGAAACGTTCACTTTGCTGCCGCTACAGCGGAATGGACCGGAGCAGTTGCGGTAGTAAGGATTCACGGCTACCAAAGCCGATGAGAGGTGGAAGAAAAGGGTGAGGAGCGGGAAGACGATGAGGACTCCTTGAGGCATATCGTCGAGCTGGTTGGGGGTGATGTTTGTGCGAAGTGATATGTAGAAGAAGAATTTGGGTTGTGCTGTTGAAAGAGTAGGTGGAAAGAAGGAAGAAAGGGAGGAATTTGGCGGAGGATATAAAAGGTGGACGGTGAATGGGAACGAGAGATCTTGCATTCAACGGCGGTGAGCGCGGCAGAATGGTTCAAAATTCTAGAGTTTTTAAAGAGGATGGCGTGCGGTAACTTCTGCTTTCATTAACGCGAAATAATTGACTGTAAATAATATATAAATAGTTGTGAAGCTCCAACGAAATTTATTTAAGTAATTATGAGCTCCAACAAAAAATAATTTCTTATAGGTTTTGAATTCCGAATCATATATTTTATTTTATTTTGAAAGACATTTCAAACTAACAAAATTTATAAAATAATATTATTATGATTATAATGCTTAGATTTTCTTCATATAAAATTAATAAAATCTCACTTAATATACGTAAGTATATGTGCTGAATCAAGTAATAAAATGATAGAGTATAGTGTTGAACTCATCAGAAAGTATGCTTACTTGTAACAAACTACTATTGTTTACTCTAATTACAATAATTATCTTATTGAAATAAAACAATAAAAATATTGGATACAATAATTAATCTAAGTGTTTTAGATTGATGAGTGTAAATTTCATATATTTTTTTGACCAGAATCTTAATTATGGATGTGATTCCGAGCATATGCATCCCTATAGTTGTAGTATCTCCTTAAGAATATAGAACAGTTTTACATCCTATGTCTAGGCATGCAAACATCCTATCTCAATTAATAAGGATTAAGTATTCAAATTAGTCAAACATCCTATCTCAATTAATAAGGCTTAAGTATTTAATGACTCTAGTTATGTCAAACAAAAGATAATCAAACCTAATTAATTATTGTCAGGCCAATTAATTCAAAGAGCCATTGATCCTATTGACCTATTAAGGCCAATTTAATATATCCTAAACAAAATCCTAATACTAAGAGATTTTTTTTCTATTGTTAGCAACAAAATAAAAAATTTATAGCTCCTTAACTATTAATTCAAAATTTATGAAAACATGACAATTACTTCTCTAAACATCTTAAGCTATTGATTCCGAGTTTCTCATCCTTTTTTTCTCCTCATGGAAGAATTGTAGACTCTCCTAGGGCAGGATCATTAAGGCTTATTATTGTGATAATTGAATATTGAGAAATACCTTTTGTGAAGATTTTTAGGGTTTAGGTTTTTTAGGGTTTAGGGTTTGTGAAATTATTGTGATAATTGAAAATCGAGAAATACCTTTTGTGAAGATTTTATGAAAACATAGAACATAAAGATATGTCACTTGTAAGAAACAAGCATAAATGAAAGCACAATATCCTCATTTATTCAATTAAGGTATGTTCAATTATTCTTGATTTTAAATTTCGATGAAGAAATTTTTATAAGTGGAGATTGTGAGAAGCGGACCTGGCTGGTTCAATTGAACTGACTAGTTACTAAAACGGGAGACTGGATCAGCAGTTCACGGACCGCGAGCAGCCTGCAAGCATGCGAAAACTCTCCTGGACGGCTTGGATCGCACTGTCAAGTGATCATACCCTAGGAGAGTCTACAATTCTTTAGACCGGCTGCTCAAAGTGTTTGATACAACTTTCTTAATGGAGAACAAAAGAATCTTCAAACACAACCAAACAACTTTCACTCAGAATGACAAAAAGGAAGCAACTCTCATAGTGATATGCCATAAAATTATCAGTTGCGATGAAATGTTAGTAGTAGTTGATTAGATTTACATTTAAGATTAGAGTTTATATATAAAATTTAGGACGGCTTTCTTATTATTTTCTAAAGCAGCTTTCTAGTATAAAATTTCTAATTCAATATACTTTGTATTGAAATGTTAGAGTTTGTATGGCACAATGAAGAGCTCATTGATAGCTTTTTATAGTGTATGATCACTCAAAATGGTGGTATGTAACGGGAGAATAAAGGATTGATTTTTTTCCGTCGATTTTTTTTTTTGTGATAATTTTCTCTTAACTAAACGGAGTTAGCAAAAGAAATTTCAAAGGAAATTTCCTCCTACTTTCATTTTCGCTTCCGTTACATACTTTTCCTTTTGAACAAATAACCGTTATGTAAATTTGTATGTGACGGACTGACGGCAGATAAGAAAGGTCAAAATCTCATATTTATGGCAAATGATGAAGTAGTTATCAATGAGCCCTTTTTAGGTTGATGAAATTAATTAGTTGAGAATTTTTTTTAAATTATCTAATTTATGCTTTAGCATTACTTTTTTTTTAATATCAATTCTCAATTTCTCATTTAATTTAATAGCATTAATTTTTTTATAACATTTTTTAAATCAATTTAAATTTAAAAAAAAAATTAATTTTACGATCGTTCGACTTGATCAAAAAATTTGAAGTTGACATGATTATCAATTTTGGATAAACGGGTTAGGATCAGATTAACCTGACAATTACTGGGTTAAATAATATAAAAGTATATGATCAACATAATAATTAAATGAAACATGTTGGATAAAGGCCATGTAAGGGTGGAGTCAGGTTTGACCCATATGATAAATTAGTTGGAATCGGGTCAAGAACATCTAGGTCGGATCAATTTTAGGTTAAACCCGAACATGTCCCAGCAACTTGAATTGACACTATTAGGTATGCATCCACCAATGCCTATAAAATAAAAGTGAAATAAATAATATCACCAAATGAAGTACTTACTTTAGGCTTGTTTGGGAAAGCTTTTTCAAATAGTTTTTTAGTACAATTTTTTTTTTTAAAATAGGTGTGTCAATTTTTGACACAACCCGAAATACAACCCGAACCCGACCTGGAAAAATCCGGGTTAGGGTCAACCCGGACCCGAAACGGATCGGGTTCGGGTTCAACAAATCAACCCGTTTTAAAAATCGGGTCGAGTTCGGGTTGACCCGGCAACCCGAAATTGACATGAAAACTCCTATTTTACCCGGAAATCCGAGATTGACCTGTTTTGACCCGAAAAATCAAAGATGGACCCTATTTTGACCCAAAAACTAACAATTTTAGGTGGATCATTCGTGTCGGGTCGGGTTGACCCGGATCGAATCGGGTCGGGTTCAGGTCCGAAAACCTGACCCGCTTTTAAAAACGGGACGGGTTCGGGTTGACCCGAACAATGTCGGGTCAATTTCGGGTTCGACCCGAACCCCACCCGTTGACCCGAATTGACACCCTACTTTAAAATATTGAAAAAATAATGGACAAAGCTGTCCCAAACGGAACCTTAAGCAGCTCCAGCCATCACTACCACCGCTGGTGCTCAATCGATTCTGTCAGCTGTAACTGCATCAGAGAAAATTGGATACATAGCAGCAACATGAAAATGAGCTTTTTATGCTTGTTGTATTTCTAATTTCTGCTTCTGTTCTCTTTTATGTTTTGTGTATTCATCATGGTATCAGAGATTATGATCTACAGCAATTTCTTCTTTGTTGTTTTGGAGTTTTGAAGATAGCTCTGTGTGTTGCTTGCTCTCTGTTGATGTGCTCAATGACCCACTTCCCAAATTCTTTTTGTGAATCCTGCAGCTCAATCGATGTTCAACATCAATGATATTGTTGGTACATAGTTAACTTGTAAAACTATAAAAGGAAAATTAATATGTTGGCTCTACTCGATCACTATCAGAAAATAGGGTCAGCGCACGTATAAGATTGGGATTTCGGAATTAGAGTTTGGTTTATAATTGCACCGGTTAAAATTGGTGCTAATTGTACTAGTTTAAACTGCTTCTAATTGCACCAGTTAAACCGGTGCAAATTGTAGCAATTAAAACCGATGCTAAAACAAAGTTTTGGCAGCGGTTTTAAAATTGCTCTTAACAACTGGATTTTAAAACCGCTGCGAAAAAATCTATTTTTTGATAGGGGCTTCTTGTCCACCTAAGCATCTTATGTATATAATGATCAGATTTCTCCAAATAGTAATCATAAAACATGAATGCTTGATTAAAAAACCATGTTGCTTGTGCTGAAATTTGGTATACCATTCATAAGGGGCTTCACGTTTCGTTTGGAACGGCTTTCTTAATGGTTCTTAAAGCAACTTTTTAGTATATAAATTTTAAAATTTTTTATCAGAAAACTGTTTCAAGAAGTATTAAAAAAGATGACAAGCCTCTCTCAAACATGAACTCCATAATATCACCCTGAAAAATCAATCTATGTCACATCATTTATGTCAAATTAATAAGATCTATAATTTAAATTGCTGAATCATCTTAAATTTAATTACGAAAATTTTCAATTTAAATTATACCTCGAGATTTATGCCAATTTTTCAATAGATATATCATATATAATATATCTTTTTATTAATTAATTCCATACTAATATCATCTTAAAATAAATTTCATAATAATAAAATTTATTTATCAGAATATTCTCATACAAATTTTCTCTAACAAACGCACATAATACAGGGAAAGACTGAGGACCGCGTTTGAATCCTTCGAGAAAGACAGAGAAAAGTAGTATAGAAAGCTAACAATCAATAGACAATTAAATTGTATTTCTATCACTTTCCTTCACTTCAAACATTAATGGCTTGCATTAAATTATAACTAAGTTGAAGAACTCAAAACCATAAAAAATTTTGTTTTTGTTTTTCTTTTCATCAAAGATATTTTTTTTTTCCATATTAAGCAATGGTTGGGGGGACTCTTCCACCTAGAGAACCCTTTCTAGCACATATCAATTATCTAATAATTAACATTTCTAATTATTCGCTTATCATATGATGATTTTTTTTTAAACTTTTAGGTCAATTACGTATGCAAACTCACACACATATTAGTATATAGAAAAGTTTTGAATAGAGGTGTCAAAAGTTTACACGACCAGGAAAAATTCGGGGTCAGGTCAACT